TTTTACCTACAATCAGACATTTTTCATTTCTGAATGCACACCATACCTTGCTCATCCATGACTTCCGTTTACACATTGCCCTTCTCCTTTTCACTGCCTCCCACAGTCGTCTCTGACCTGCAGAGCGAGAGATAGAATAAAAAATGCCAGGAGGTCTAAATATATTAAACATGTTCAATATACAATATAATAAAATGTACTATAATATTCACCTAATCGTTTATATTATATTATATATTATATTTATTATTATACAGTGCTGTCTAAATCAATCAATCAATCAAAATATAAGTCCAAATAAATAATAAACATATACATTATTATTAATAATAAAATACTTAAAAAAATAATGAATAAATACATTTTCCAACATTCAAACTCCTCTCACACGCTTCAAACACATGCTACCCCACTCACCGGGGCGGCCCATGCCAATCTTTTCAAGGTCCTCATTTTTGACATAGTCAAAGTGTGAGAGACGAGTGACATTGAGCTCATCACGAATACGCATGAAGTACTGCTGAAGCTGCACTTCAGTGAGCAGCTCCATGAGCCACTCCGTTCCCTCTTCAGACTGCATGTCTCCACCGTCCGGCTGCACACACAAAACATAAGACATATTGTTTTAAGCATAAACAATCTTATTATCCTCCACAATTCTGCTTCTCAAGCAAACCTATCTTATTTTAAGCTTTTTTTTTAGATATTTTTATTGGAAAACCAGACAAAAACACAGTTATTTTTTCTGTGTAGAGAAAACAGTAAACCTCAACTTTTACCTCATCTTTTACATTATAGTGCCGCTGGTATTCGGAGACCGCCGCCATTTCTACATGGAAAGCAGTGCTTTCAGGCAGTGTGTGTATGAGTGAACCACACTCCCTCGGGGTGTCCTGTTTTCACAGTAAACTGTCGAGCGTCTCCTCTAATCTGTGAGATATATTTGGTTGATTCTTCTTCTTCCCATCAGCAGCTACAAAAGCTCTCTCTTTTATAAGCTAAAGTCAAGAATAAAGTGAGTAATCTGATTCCTCGACCAAACAATAGTTGCAATCTCATGTGAAATTGTGTCTTCTGTTGCAAAACCTCTGCCCAGCCTCCGGAGAATTAAGTGTGAAAGATTATTCCCACCCTTTTAGATGAATTAATCAGTGCAGACAGTGCCTTAAATCCAGTTAATTTCAGCCATGTCTTGTCTTCCAAACATGTCAGCATCCATCTTCAGTCTCATCTCCTTACGTCTCCAGTCTCAGTCAGATGAATAAAAAGAAGTTCACAGCTTGTTAACAGTAAGGTATTTCCATCCATTATTAGTGCTTTTTCCAGAAGCAGCATTTTGCTTTCCCTTGCTGAGTCACTGCAGCAGCAGTACGAGTGCAGCAGACCTCAAACACAATCCTTAAATGCAGTATTGCTGTATAAAACTGAATGTGCTCTAAGTGCTTACCGTCACACTGCTTAACCTCACACCCCCAATAAAGAAAAAAAAAACATGAAAGTGTTATATTGACATATGTCAACATTATCAGATTGACCTTTTGCTTTTATTTGTCACAATATTTAACAATTTTTTTTAATTTAAATTTTTTCCTTTTTTGTGACAGGAAATGACACCACATTACATGACAGCGCATTTACACTACAATGAATGGATAGCTAGATAGATAGATAGATGGATTTAACATAAATATACACAGACAATATACACAATTAGCCTAACAATCAGAACCAATTCCATTCCAGAGAGCCGTATAATATAGAGAGAGGCTGTCAAAACATCATTGATTATTTTGAGGAAATGTACATCAGGACATGATGACCCATTCACTGATGAATTATGCAGCCTCCCATGTGAGTAAGAGACAGCACACCCAGAATTAAAACTGTCCACAGATGTACAAAACCATATTTATTCACACATTCTCACCAAACACCTAAACCATCAGAAACCACCCACTGAGCGTGATGGCAGCACATCATAACTATGACAATGACGCAGTAACCCTTGGCAACTAGAGCATGACTAAGAGGAGCAGACAGAACGCCACATGGCATCTCTTTCCCTTCTAGAGATGCCCTACGCACATTTATGAGGACACAGTTGTAGGAGGCAGGGTGGTTGGAAATGTACACCCTTTGAAACTCTGATACTGTAGAATAAGATATGTAACAGACTCACACTGGCCTTATGAAGACATACAGCACATATAGGAACAGTATCCTAAATATTTCATAACCCATTTAAACAATTCAGTCTTTTATTCGGGACATTCTAAGTTTAGAGAACAAAATATAGTCGTGTTTATTGACCTTAGTATAGAAATTTATGATAAAGTGCTGTCCAGTGGTCTTACCAAGTTGTAGGTCAGTCCTGAGGTCTTCAGAAATTGTCCACTAAATACAAGCTGATGTCAGGGACGATCCTCCTGCGGTCCAGTGTTTGACAGGGCCATGACAAGCACATATGAGCCAAATCAAGGCTGCTTCTGACTAGTCAACATCAAGCTGCAAAACTGCGGAGATGAATTATCATAGAAGGAGGTGAGCTGTTATAACCTTGTTACAATGTGTCCTTACAAACATCTGACATCACTGCAGAGATTCACATACATATGTATATAGGAGAAGGATTGTGAATCATTTAAACATCATCCAGTGAATCATCACTGAACCGCTCTCTTTTGAATCAAGTGACTGCTTTCCTGCCTTGATAATACAAACAACAAATAGCAAAAAGGCCAGGCTGTGAAGGAGCATTTCATTGGTCGAGCTGACTGAACGAGTCAGTGTTTTCGATCTGAATTTGAGCGAAGTTGAACAATTTGAACTGGGACATCTCATTTGTTCATATCTATTGTGCTTCGTTGTGATTTGTGATGTTTCTGTAGTCTATTTGTAAATTAGTAGACATGCAAATTAATTATGATTGTTTTGGTTGCGAAGGACTGTATTAATAGTCAAATGATACAATGAGTAAATTCAGTAAATGATTCAATGAGGCATTCATTCATAATGCAAGAAACACTCAAACCCCATGCTGGCATAAAGATAGCCTTCATTGATCAAATCAGCATTCAAATTTGAATTAATATTTTTGGAGAACTGATTCAAAAGATTCAAATCACTTTAAGGAATCTAAGTCAGTGTTATGAAAATACTATTAGTGTTTCTTTATATTTAGAATTTTCAGCATTTTAGTTAATTTAGTTGTTTTTGTCATTTTATTAGTTATATGTTTTATATGTCTTTATAGTTCTTATTCATTTTTTATTTCAGTTTTAGTTTTAATTATTTTAGTAGGCTACATTAAGTTAAACTAGACTAAATGGAAGAAATGCATCTTTGGCAACAAGCTGATACAAAATAAGTTGAAGCTTTTAAAATATTTTATTTCAGTTACGGTTTATTTAAAGTATTTTTTAAATGGTTTTAGTTGTGAACACACCAGATTAGATATTAATACATCTCCAACCAGATAGTTGGGATAATGAGCTGGGGCTATAACTGTTTATTGTATGTAACTGAATAATGAATAAATTACATTATTGAACAACAGCGGTTTTGCCATATTGATGTGATACCACGTTGCCTATTTCTTTTATTACAGCATCATTAAGAGAAATTTAGCTTAGATCTTCCAGAAATATTAATCAGAACCGATCCAAAAGGAAATATAAAATCGTATTTAGTTTCCCATGTGGAAACCATTAGCGTTTTTGAGTCCGCTCGGGGCCATGCTGTCTAGGAAGGCAGCGCGCTAGGTTTTGAGACACATCCACTGTCTTCTTTATATTCAGATACAGAATCGGACATAA